GGAGAAGTATTCATTGAGGACCTCGCCCATCCCTTGCGGTTCCACACATAGATGTCCACTTTGGTCTTTGAGGGGTCCTATTCCGTCTCTTGTTATTCTTTTTCCTTTAACATACTTAAAGAATCTCTTTGGATTCACCCTAATCTTCTCAGCTAAAACTATCTCATGCCCCCTTTTCGCCTTCCTGATTTCCTTCTTCAGTAAACTCCTGTATCCCCTATATACCTCCAGGGATTCCCTTGATCCCAGCTGCCTGCTCCTGAGCCATGCCTCCTTTTTTAAAGTCTCAATATCTCTCATCATCCAGGGTTCCCTACACCTGCCACCCTTGCCCTTCACCCCCACAGGAACATATAGACCTTGAACTCTAGCTATCACATTTTTAAAGGCCTCCCACTTGCTAGAGGTCCCTTTGGCTGCAAACAAACTACTCCAATCAGCCCCTGCAAGCTCCAGTCTAATTCCATCAGAATTCACCTTGCCCCAATTTAGAACTTGAATCTATGGACCAGTTTTGTCTTTTTCCATAACTATTCTAAAATTAATACAACCACGGTCACTGGTCCCAAAGTGTTCCCCACTACGCCACCTCAGTTATCTGTCCTGCCCTCGTTTCCAAGTGTAATTCAAGTTTTGCCCCTTCCCGAGTAGGACCCTCTATATACTCTTAAGGAAACATTCCTGAACATATTTAACAAATTCCACCCCATCTAACACTATGGCAGTCCCAGTCTATGTTAGGAAAATTTAAATCCCCCACTCTGACTAACTTGATCGAGTTTTTTGAGGAGGTGACGAAGATGATTGACGAGGGAAAAGCAGTTGATGTTGTCTACATGGACTTCAGCAAAGCCTTTGAGAAGCTCCCTCATGGCAGACTGGTACAAAAGGTGAAGTCACATGGTATCAGAGCTGAGCTGGCAGGATGGATACAGAACTGTCTTCATCATAGGAAACAGAGAGTTGCGGTGGAAGGATGTTTTTTGGAATGGAGGATTATGACTAGTGGTGTTCCACAGGGATTAGTGCTAGGACCTCTGCTGTTCATGGTCTACATAAATGATTTGGAGAAAATCTTAACTTGTCTAATTAGTAAGTTTGCGGACGATACAAAGATTGGTGGAGCTGTGGATAGTGAGGAGGAATGTCAGATCAGTTGGAGGCATGAGCAGAAAAATGGCAGATGGAGTTTAATTGGGACAAATGTGAGGTGATGTATTTTGGAATGTCAAGTACAGGTGGAAATTATACAGTGAATGGCAGAATCATTAGGTGTATTGATATGCAGAGGGATCTGTGTTAATGGGTCCACAGATCACTGAAGGTGGCAGCTTAAGTAGATAAGGTAGTAAAAAAGGCCTATGGCATGCGTGCCTTCATTGGAAGGTGCATTGAGTATAAGGATAGAGTAGTTATGCTGCAGCTTTATAGAACTTTAGTTTGGCCACACTTGGAATATTGCATATAGTTCTGGTCACCACAGTACCAGAAGGACGTGAATACTTTGGAGACGGTACAGAAAAGGTTTACCAGGATGTTGCCTGGTATGGGGGATTTTAACTTTGAAGAAAGCTTGGATAGACTGTGTTTGTTTTCACTGGAATGCAGGAGGTTGAGGGGGTGACCTGATAGAAGTTTATAAGATTGTGAATGGTATGGATAGAGTGGAAAGTATCCAGGTTGGAGGGGTCAATTACTAGGGGACACGGTTTCAAGGTGTGAGGGGGGAAGTTTAAAAGAGACATGCGAGGCAGGTTTTTCACACAAAGGGTGGTGAGTGCCTGGAACGTGCTGCGAGAGGAGGTGGTGGAAGCAGACACAATAGCCACATTCAAGAAATACCTGGACGAATGCATGAATAAGAAGGGAATAGAGGGATATGGATCCTGTAAGTGAAGACAGTTTTTGAATGGAAGGGCAAAATGTGTTGGCCCAGGCTTGGAGGGCCGAAGGGCCTGTTCCTGTGCTGTATTGTTCTTTGTTCTCATATTGTTTTGTACACCAGGAAGCAGAAAGCACGATTTGAGTAGAAAACTGCTAGTAGACCCTGTGAACAGACAGTCTTATTGTGCAGCTACAAAAGGAATAATTGTAGCATACACTTAAACATCTACATTGCTTCAGGAAGTGTAAACAAGCAAGTAGACGACTGCTACTTTAGTCATTATTTTGGGAGGAAGACAGGCAAATATGACAAGGCAAACATTTTGTCACTATAGGTTCAATTATCCACTTTTCCAGTGATTGGTGTTTCCTCATTGGCTGGGATCAACATCTTTAAAATGTTTGTGTCTGAGTGCATCAGCTTGCCACTTTAAGGATGTGCAATTTCAATTGTATATTTACTCTTTTTCGATTTGGGGGATCAATTGTTAACTGACAAACCTCTGGCCTGACAGTGTTACTGAATCCCTGTCAGATTTGCATTTTCTTGCTGTGCTTAGATCAGGTGATCAGAAACTCATTGCTCCTGTTTTCTCAGTCTACCAGATGTGCAGAATGTGCTCACACCTTAAAGGCAGGAAGGAGCTGCTGTTTCAAACAAGAGATCTGTACATTCAATGTTCTCCTTGGAATGGACATTTATTCCAGGGAGCTCTTGGTGCATCATTAATGAAGGGATGATGACTTATCTTTCGTATCATTCCCTATTAACTAATAAAGAGGGTGACACAATGTTGAATTCAAGTGTATATTCACTTCAGTACTTTCTTGGGATATGTTGCTGCAGGAGGATTATGCCCTGGCACTTTTTACAATTGATGTGAATGTAAGTTGCTTGGGGACCCTACACAAATGCCCAGCACTTATTCTTCATCCAGTTTCCTCCTCCCCTTTAGGGAGGCAGCTATCTTTACTCAGGAATTGCTTCACAATATTTTTGCTGAGTCTAAACAATTATGAGACCAGGTCATATTTGTGCACGTAAAGTGCTGTCCACAGCTGAACAATTGGAAAGAATTGTGATTTTACTTTTGCTGTTACATTTTTGTAGAATCATACAATTAGGATTGGGGTATCAAAGAGTTTGGAGACAAAGCGGGAAAAGCTGAATCATGATCACATTGAATGGCAGAGCAGATTCAAGGGCTGAATGGCTTACTCCTTTTACTTTTTATGTTTCTGTGCAAAATGATGCAACACAGGAGGCAGCTGCCAGGCCATTGTGCCTGTGCCAGCTCTGGTAGAGCCAGTTAGTCCCACAGTCCTGCTCTCTCCATGTAGATCTGTAAGTATTTTCTCTTCAAATATTTATTTAATTCCATTTTAAAGTTGTGATTAGAACTGCTTCTGCCACCCTTTTAGGCAATGCCTTCTAGCTCATAACAGCTTCTTAAATATTTTCACATGTTCCTGCTTATTCTTTTGCTAATCATTTTGAATTGGTGTGCTCTAATTACCAACACTCTGTCACTAGAAACTGTTTATTCTTATTTACTCTATCAAAACACTTGATGACTTTGAACACGTCTGTCAAATTTCCTTTTAACCTTCTCTGTCCTGAGAAAAACGACTCCAGTTTCTTATAGTCTCTGCACATAACTGAAGTTTCTTATTTATGATATCATTCTCCTAAATTTCTCTTGCATCTTCTGTCAGACCTCGACATCCACCCTAATGTGGGACCGCCTCAGTATTCTTTAAACGTTTAGCATAACTTAATTTGATAAATACAGGAACAATAATATCCATTTCAGTATAATACTGACTGAGTGTTGCATTAATGACAAGGTAAATTTAGACACATTGACCTCAAAGAAGAGCCAGTAATTTTCTCATAGTCTTGGCTGACATTCCTCTTTTAATCACCAGATTAAGTGACAATTTTTTTTGTGAGATCCAAATTTATGCAAAACGGTGACCACATAATCAAATTTTGACTTTCAAAGAAATTTGTTACAAATTAAACACTCTGTGTTGTTTCTGAGGAATGATAAAACACTTGGTAGATGAATGTTTTTTCGTTTTAACATTGGTTCAGTCTCTTCAAGCCAGTTTTCTGATGCTTTGAGTCCTTGGAAAATACATTCTGTTGTGTATTAAAAATGTTTGACGGCACAGCTGGACATGGGCAATAAATGCTGACCCAGCTAGTGATGTGCACAACCTATGTGAGTAGAAAAAAACATTTAATTTTATTGAAAATGTTATCAAAAACTTCTAACCTAAGGCTACACCAATGGAAAGTCCTATTTTAGAAGAATCAACCTTGAACTGCAGTACTTGTCACACTTATAGGCAGTGTTGTTGGTTGTAACAGTGTGAAAGCTACCATGTTCTGTTTATTGCAATATCTCTGACTAATTGAGTGAACCTGAGGTTGTGATAATTTAATGCAATAATAAAGGAAATAATCAGAGTACTGTCTGACAACACCAACTTGAAACAACTTCCATAAGTTTATGATGAAAATTGTAACCGGGGTGAGTACAGGCAAAGGAGGGATAAGGATTAGCATTTAAATGTTAGTTAGACATGCAATAGCCTATTTTACTGCGATGTAGGAGAAAAAGATTGCTAGATAGCCAAGTATCAACACCTACCCTTCCCCGACACTTTCAACTAAATCCAGGCTTTAGTGCACAATCTTTTACATGACTTCCACAACGTTAGACAGACATTACTGATCCTTATTCTCTCCGTCTCCTTTTCTGAGGGCTGGAATAGCTATAACTTCTCGTATTGAGAAGGAAAGTTTAGTTCATTCCTACTCCCTCTCTCTCTCCCCACCCTACTCAAAAATATGAAATCTAAGCCTATTGGAGAGATGTCATAGGAGACCATCTTATTGATTTTTCAATTATACAATGATAACAAATACAGTTCATAATTTTTAATTGGTATTCCTTTTTTTGGAAGGGCAGCGATATTGAGATCCACTTGTAAAGAATCATCTGATAATAGCTTTCCAAATTTATTTTTTTGGGTTTATAAGATAAGATAAAGATAAAGACACTACATGATGAATTATAAGATAACCAGTAATCACTTTTCCATAGAATAGAGCAGCTGAATCATGAACATGAGGAAGAATTGTCAGCACTAACTGGAAAAGTAAACCTTTCTCACAGCTTTGCCACAAATTTCCAGAGCCAAGTGGAGGCAATACAGTAAGTAGAGACTCTCCCCAAAAAGGCACAGAATGATTTTCAGCAAACTCTATCAGTACATTACATCTTTCTAATTGGTCTGTCAAATCTATCACACATTACTGTTCATTATATAGGAAGTTCTTTAGAACTCTAGAGTTGAAAAACCACAGATGCCCTATGTACCTTGAGTATTTTATCAGGAATTGAAAATTGTTTATTGTCTGCTCACAAGGGTATGTGATGCAATGGACTAGCTTTTCAGGAAAGGTGTCAAATGATGCAAATCCAACTGGTAAGCATTGAAGGTAAAGGGGTAATGTAGGATGTGGAAGTGTTATCAAAAACAGCACCAGGACTTTGCTGGGGGACTGTAGACTGTTATATCTGGCATGTTGACTCGATATTCCTGGGGCTGTGGGAGTGAGCTGGGGAGGTGACAGGGTTATCAGGAAAGGAATGTTTAGGGTCTTGGGAAGATTTGTAGTTCACGTTGTGGAGGAGGTTGTTGGCTTGCTCGCCAAGCTGGCTGGTTATCATACAGATGTATTGTCACCATACTAGGTAACATCATCAATGCGGCCTCCGATGAAGTGATGTCGTTCTACTCTGCTTGGTATTTATATGATCTGATCTGTTAAGTTGGGTTGTGTCATTTCTGGTTCTGTTCTGCGTGGGTTTGTATATGGGGTCTAATTCCACATGTTTGTTAATTGCATTACAGGTTGAAAACCAGGCCTCTAGGAATTCCTGTGCATGTCTGTGGTTGGTCACATTGTCCCAGTTAAATTGATGGCCTTCATTGGCTGAGTGCACTGAGATGACAGAAAGTTCGTTGTGTCGTTTTGGTGCTAGCTGGTGTTCGTGTATCCTGACGGCTAGTTTCCTTCTGGTCTGGCCAATGTAATATTTGTTGCAGTCATCGCAAGGTATTTTGTAAACTACATTGGTCCTGCATGTCATGGGTATGGGATCTTTGGTCCTTGTGAGTGTTTGTCATATTGTGGCTGTGGGTTTGTGTGCTACCATGATTCCTAGTGGTTGCAGGTGTCTTGTTTCTAGATGTCAGAGTGGAATGAATGACCAATGGGAGTTCCAAACCACAGTATATAGGAAGGCAACCCACACTGACCAAATCCTCAATTTCCACAGCAATCCCCCCAACGTCTACAAACAAAGCTGTGTTAGGACACTATTCAAACAGGCCACAACTCACTGCAATACGTCAGAACTACGCAAGAAGGAGGAAGAGCACCTACCTATACAACGTCTTTGCTAACAACGGATATCCCAACAACTTCATCCGCAGGTGCCTACTAGATAGACAACGCCAAGAGGACGTAGTATGCCCCAATACATTGGCCACACTACCCTATATCAGGGACATATCAGAACTGACATCGAGACTCCTCCGACCACTTGGAATCATGGTAGCCCATAAACCCACAGCCACACTACGACAAACACTCACAAGGGCCAAAGACCCTTGACATGCAGGACCAACGTAGTTTACAAAATGCCTTGCAATGTCTGCCACAAACATTACATCAGCCAGACCAGAAGGAAACTAGCTGTCAGGATACACGAACACCAGCAAGCACCAAAACGACATGACAAACTTTCCCTCATCTCAGTGCACTCAGCCAATGAAGACCATCAATTTAACTGGGACAGTGTGACCATCCTAGCTCGAGCCAACCATAGACACGCACAGGAATTCCTAGACGCCTGGTTTTCAACCCATAATGCAATTAAAAAACATGTGGAATTAGACCCCGTACAAACCCATGCAGAACAGAACTGGAAATGACACGACCCAACTTAACTGATCAGATCATATGAATACCAAGTGGAGTAGAACAACATCGCTTCATCAGAGGCCGCACTGATGATGTTACCTAGCATGGTGACAAAACGTCTGTATGATAACCAGCCAGTTTGGTGAGCAAGCCAACAACCTCAAGGAATGTTAACATTGGGGGTTTCACCAGGTGTAAAGACTCAATGCATGGGTTAAGTGGATTGGCCATGGGAAATGTAGGGTTACACGGCGAAGGTGGGGGTGTGGGTCTGGGTGGGATGCTATTTGGAGGCTCGGTCTGGACTCGATGGGCTGAATGGCTTGCTTCCACATTGCAGGGATTCTATGATTCTATGCATGAGAAGCGACTGCTGTTTCCTTCCATCGTGGTATAAACAAGTGCACAATGGAGCAGGAAATTAATGTGATTACACCTGGAATGGGCAGGGTAATGCTTTCCTCTGTGAGGCTTGGGGTTCACTTTAAAGCAATGTGAGGTCTGTGTGTCCATGTTACATAGACACCAGTAGAACACTAGTGAAAGATATACATGTGATGTGAACAGTAGGGCATTAAGCCACTGAACGTAGTCCAGGGTAAGCACTTTTGACCACCTCATCAGGAATCAATGCCACTGATGGCTGTAATGCACAAGCAGTGAATTGTAGTCTTGAAAGATTCACCCTTGGTGCCAAAGTAACAAGTACCTTCCAAGTTTCTATCGCCTGCAGATGATGCAGGAGATGCTCACTTCACGCATTTGAGCATACAACCTCATGTATCTTGAAGGACGGCAAAGCTCTGTACATTCAGTCAGAATCACAGAAGTGTTATGGTGCAAAAGGAGGCCATTCGGCTTACCAGCTTGCCTGCACTGCTCTTCAAATACGCATCTTTACCGAGTGTGATCTCCTGCTTTTTCCCTTAACCTTGCACTCTACTTCTGTCCAAGTAATCATCCAATACCCTCTTGAATGCCTCAATTGAACCTGTCTCCACCACATTTCCAGGCAGTGCGTTTTATCAGTTATCTACTCACTGTGTGAAAAGAAAATTTTATTAAATCACCTTTGCTTCTTCTGTAGATCACTTTAAACCAGAAACAGTCTTTCTCTAACAACCCTATCCTAAATCTTGTAGTTGTAGCTAGACAGATATTTTCTCACACATCTGATCAAATGTGAACAATATATTTATAAATGTGTGAATGTATTTACAATAACGTGTCATCCACGCCATCTTTGTGCCCTCAGAAGATCATCATCTTCCTTTTCCTTCCACTACATCTGGTTGCATTCCTGGGTTCTATAGTTGAAGTGGCAGAACCCTACCCCACAATGGAGTCCATGGCCTTGGAATTTTGCTTGGTAAACCCTGGGGTGTTTGTGACCAGAGGACTCAGATGTGCTGAGTGTACTTTGCCCAAAGGGAGGTGTACCCTGAATGTCTTGACGAGAACTCCTTCGGGGCTGAGGGTGACAAGGAGGATGAAGGTGGAAGACCCAGCTATCTCTGGAGTGACCCAAGAGGAGACATCTAAAGGGGCCTGTAAATGGTTCACCCTGTAGCTGGATGTCTATTATGATTGCCCTGTCTCCTTGTGAAGAAGGGCACCTAGAGTGAGGTCACAGTCCCTTGTCCACTGTTAGCTTGGCAGTGGTACTGAGCACCAATGGTTGGGCAATGAAGTTCAGTTTTGTGTATATTTCCAGCTGACTTTGAGATTCCAGTAAGTCTGAAGGTGGAGTGAGCCCCTATATAATTGGTTGGGATGGTGCAGAATGGAGATTTCATCAGGCTTCCTTTTTTTGTCTGGGTCAGAAAAGCTTGTGGGTGGCATACTCACCCAGATGGCACTTGAAACCTTTAAGCAGGTACTTAACATTTTTCACCCACCAGTAGGTAGGAAACTCACCATATGAGGAAGATCTTCCAATAGACCCTGTTGGGTTGGTCTGTAGCCAATCTGCAGGGCATCAGCATATAGAGTAGTGTTTATTGCGCTCATCCGCATTAATCCTTTCAGTGTCAAACACTTTATACAACATCTGCAAACACTTTATACAACATCTTCTCCAAGCTTATTTTGCATTTTAGTATATACACATTTGTATAGCTAATTACATTTATCACCACCCATCACCACCACCCCCAGTCTTTGACTTTACAAACTTAGGCAGTAATACCCTGTTTCATACTCTGCCAGATTGTGCTGTCTTTGGATTTGAAAAATTGGTAGGTCTTAAAAGATGTGGTTGCTGTTGTTTAAGGTGTTAGGCATTGAAAGGCTTAATGCTGAGTTGCACAACCCATTACGATGGTGGCATATGGACTTGAATGGGAGAAAACCTCTGGATCCTGAAGAAGTCCTGAAGTCCTACCATCCTGGTCTCCCTCATAGTAACTATCATACCACAGGTCAAAATACATGGGGGTGAATTATACCCCCAAATTCTCCAAATCACCCTGGAAAATCCACTCATGGGAATGACCAGTCAGAGAAGATCATAAGGGATAGGAGCAGGAGTAGACCATTCAGCCCATCAAGTCTGCTCCCTCATTCAATGAGGTCATGACAGATCAAATTCACCCAATAATTAAATAGAAGGAAATGGTGAGGAGCTGCTCCTCCAGTCAAAGGCTCGTTCTGTCCCACGTTTATCACTGATAATTTCATCAGGAAACAATCAGCAACAAATGTGGGAGAACCAGCTTGTGACTGGACAAGCAAGGTGGCTGGTAGCCGTCAGCTAGACTAGGGGTAGCTGGGCAGGCAACTGAGACTGGGAAGCAAGGTCAGTGAGACTGGGGAGGGAGGCAGGGAAAGCCTGGAATGATGCCAAGAGCCTGGGTTGTGAAGTTGTGTAACAAAGCTAGGCCCTGGAAACAAAATCATGGAGCTGGGGCTGGGATGGCAGTGAGACTGAAAAGTTGGGAGAGGGGAGCTGCAGTGGACTGGGTGAGGGGAGAGCTACCCAGGGAGGTTGTGAATCTGCAATGTAGGAAGAGAACTACAAATGGCAGTGAATGGTTGTGTAAAGGTTTGAAAGCAAATGCAATAGGAAAATGGGCTGCAAAGAGGAGCCCTGAAGTAATAAAAACTAACTCCGAAAGATCAAAAAGTAGTCATGCAAGGTAAAAAAATTACTTTGAGCCTTATATTAGACTAATATAATTTGTGCTTGATTGTCATTGTGTATTTTAGACAAGAGCCACTTGTCATTAGTATACCAAATGATTTTCCTTTCTACAATAAACCAGTTAGTCCCTATGGATCTTCAATCTAAAGGAGGAGGATGTCAGCAAATCTACCTGATTTATCTTTCACTAAAGCAATAGTGCTTAGGATCCATCATACAACATGATGAGCAGTAGTGCAGATTCCAGTGAACTTTGAAGAAATTTTCTGACCCACTTTTAAGACAAGTTGCGCAGCTAGTAAGATTGAACAACTCATTTTCCCTCATGAAAATCCTTATCACGTCAGTGTATTGGGCTGTGCTTAATGTGCTCCTCTGCATTAACCTGTTCAAAGCCTAACATTTTACACAACAACATCCACATCCTTTAAAGTCCTAGGATGCAGGCCATCATATCCAGGGATCTCATCAGGCTTTTAGTTCCATTTTTTTCCCAGTATTCTTTTTGTACTGATGGAGGATATTTTAACTTTCTCCTTTACCTTTACACGAGGTATTCTTTTTTGTGGTGGGCAAGATTCTCAGGCCTTCTTAAATTACACGTTTTTTTGCAACAGTTTGGTTTTCATCCTTCTGACAGATCTTTTACTGTTTTCATACCTAAAGTACCTTTTATTGTTTTCGTGGATAACAACGTAGCAGCCAAGGCTGTGTTTCCCTTTGCCCTACTGATTAAACTTCAATAGTTTCCTGCATTTTCTCATATTCATCTAAGTGTACAAAATGTAGGTAGACTTATTTTTCCTTCTATAGCTTATATACATCTATTTGCTTAATTGAGCTGTATTGGTTTTGGGAGTGTTTAATTATGGTAACTGGAATATGTTCTGTAAACAAGAAGGAACTTAATTTGGGTAACAAATATTTTATGGTTATGATACATTTACAATTCTTCCATTCTGTTTGTTTCCCGGGGGTGTTGTTTGGTGTTCAGTCATATTCATAATTACTGAATATACATTTAAAGTTTTAAACATATTTTTCTGTTATTATGTAATGAAAAATATTGAGTCAGCATTTTTCCTACCTCCAGAGAGCAGGCAAAGAATCAGAGCACAATGTACTCGCGACAGCTTACAGAATTGGAGAGCACAGTCTGCCATCTGCGATCTGAATTACAAGAAGCAAAAAGGATGTATGAAAACAAGGTCTGGTGTATATCTGTTTATACAATCACTTCTTTTGATTGTTTTCAACTTAATAAAAAAATCACATGTACTGATACACAAATACATTAGGAGTCATTTAATGTCAGAAACTCTTCCGTTCACTGCCATACTATGAAAAAGATATGCCCTGCAAAGAGAAATAAGTTGGTTAAACAATTGTTGTCAATCTTTGTTCCAGTAGCAATATCTGAAAATGGCACACGTCATCCCTAAACAAGTAAACTTGGAAAAGGTTAGCTGCAGCTGCTGTGTCAATCAACAAATCCCCTGTAAAAATGCTAATTTTCAGGTTTTATCATAATAGTGTACTGTAACTCCAACTATACAATGTTTACCAATGGGACAAATTAAAATGACTATTTTAGTTATAGCACATTAACAAGAAATTTTATTGACTGTTTGGAACAGGGTGGTGCAGGTTAAAAGGTATTTAAAACCTTTGACACTATAATGGAAGGGCACCAGGTACAGTGGTGCATGCACATTCAGCTCACACTGCTGCTGCTGTATACATAACTGCTCATAAAATGTTTCCAGTCAGAGGCAGGATATTGTTTTTGTTAATTCATGGGATGAGGACATTGCTGGCTAGGCAGCACTTATTGCCAATCCCTAATTGCCCAGAGGGCAGTCAAGAATCAATCACATTGCCATTGGTCTGAAGTCACATGTAGGCCAAACCAGGTAAGGATGGCAGGTTTTCTTCCCCACATTAGTGAACCAGATGGGTTTTTCCCCAATAATCAGATTCACAGTCATCATTAGACTCTTAATTCCAGATATGTTTTGAATTCAAATTCCACCATCTGCCATGGTGGGATTTGAACCCGAGTCGCCAGAGTGTTACCTGAGTCTCTGAATTAACAGTCCGGCAATAACACCACTACCTATGAAAAAGAAACAGCAAGTTACTCTCACGCTGCAGGAATTTGCATTGTGAGCATCTCCTGTGGAAATTCTTAATGTTAAAATTCATCATTTACGTGTGTGTATATTGCCTATTGTACCACCAATCAGCATTATAATAGATAAAAACTGAAAGAACTGCGGATGCTGTAAATCAGGGACAAAAACAGAAGTTGCTGGAAAAGCTCAGCAGATCTGGCAGCATCTGTGAAGGGAAAAACAGAATTAATGTTTCGGGTCTGGTGACCCTTCCACTGCCTCCTTTCAGTGTAGCACATAGAAAAGAAAAACTTGCATCATAGCTCCCAATCTTTGATGAAAGCACAATCTCAATGAGATTACAAATGCTGACTCCCTAAATTAAATCCAGTGTGATAAGGGAGGTTTTACATAGCCTTGGTTGCTCATTTGGTAAGTAATGTGGCTTTTAATTCCAGGATCGTGATTTTGAGTCCAACATTTGATAATGATTTTCCTCTTAAGTATTTTGGTCAAAATACTTATGTATTAACTTTAATCAAACATGTCCTTAAATATTAGAATCAATTCTGTACACTGAAAGTTGAGAATCCCATTTACTGAATTTTCCTGATTATTTGGGATGTTTTACAGAAGACACTGTTAAGAAATGATAAGTGGGCTTGATGCAAAAACTTGCAATTAGTCGGTCGGTTAACTTGGTTAAGGAATGTAATATTTAAAATGGGTAACTTGAACTTTATAGTTAGCCTGTGTCAAGCCAATGAGTTTGTTTTAATTATTGCATCTGGTACTCTGATGCTGACACTGAGACTGCAGCTGCATATGTGCAGGAAGTGCTTCCCCGAGTGTTGTGGCACAAGCAAACAGCTTAGTTTAAACTGATGTGTAGCTTCATAGCAATTTTGTGCTGTTTCATCAGATAGAGAACTTGGAAAAGCAAGTAGAAAAATCTCATTGCGAGATTTATAATTGCAAGAGAGAAAGAGATGAATTCAGGCAGCAGGTAGAAAGCACAAATGGCCGACTCCAACTTTTAATGGTAAGTTTAGTTGCTGGTTAATTTCTTATCTGAAATCATTTATATTTAATATGTTGAACAGGATAGTGTTTTGTATTTAATTATAATTGTTAGATGCTTTTAACTGGTTCCACAAACTTTCATTTACACAAGCCTTCACTTGCTGAACATCCAGGAGAGTCTGGGACCGTACGTCATAGTCTCAGAGTTAAGAGGCACCAATTTAAAATTGAGATGAAGAGGGATTTCTTCTGTCTGGGGGTTGGGAGTCTTTGGAATTCTTTGCCACAGAGAATTGTGGGAGCAAAGTCCTTGTGCATATTTAAGGCTGAGACAGGTAGATTTTTGATCAGTAGAGGAATGAAGGGTTGTGGGTAAAAGACAAGAAAGTGGACGTGAGGAGTGTCAGAGCTGAATGGCTTACTCCTGTTCCTGTTTCTCATAATCTTATGGTCTTAAAATAGAAATTGCAGTCTTCCCACAGAGGAATGTAATTCAGGCACACAGTCTATAAGAAAATCACATTCTGTACGAGTAGAAGAATAGCCATCCATTATAATGCCTTGTTCAGGTCACCTCCTTGGCTCTTTTGTCTCACCGTGAGCACCATGCCTCTTAACTCTTTAACATTAGAAAAATAATTCTGCCATATTATTTTTAACTCTTAATTTAGCCTATGACATTTTCCCAATTGATATTATTTCTATAATAAAGTCTCCCAGTAAAATTCATTTTGGAAATTATAATGGAGCAAAGTACAAATGCCACTTTGGGTGGGTATTGAAAAGTAAAGCATATCTCTGTTAAGTAGGCTAGGTACCAGTTAATCACAACTTGGACTCAATTGATGGCAGCTCTGGTTTGTATAATCTTTGTGAAAGATCAAGGGTTGGACTTTCATGTGGACTTGGGAAAACTAGACCGGTGTGCTTTTCTCCTTCTGAAATACACATCCGATCCATATGTGACTTTGTGTGTGATTTTCTTTACCTTTTCTCAAAGGGATTGTATTTTGTAAGTTGTGATGCATGCATTTGCCTATTGGTGCAGGAGAAGGCCAATCCTGATTCTAACACTGTAGATTAGCCCCTGATGTAAAGTAAAGGTTCCCTAAAAAAAATTGGAGCAGAAATAGGCCATTCAACCCTTAGAGCCTCCTCCAGCAATCTATAAGTTCATAGACAATCTGTTGATGTCCCGATCTCCACATTCCCTATATCCCTGATAACCTCTGATTCCCTTGCCTAACAAGAATCTAATTACTTTGATCTTAAGAAGATTCAATGACTCTGCCTTCAAAACCTTCTGAGGCAGAATTCCAAAGTCACCCAACCCTTGGAGAAAAAATGTTCCCTAATTCTGGGCTTACCTATAATCCACATTGTCAAGAACATTCACGTTCATATAAACCCAATCAAATCACTCCTCACTCTTCTGAACTCTAATGAAAAAAGCCCAGTCTGTCAGAGCTTTCCTAATAAGATAACTCACTAATTCCAGGTATCAATCTAGTAAACCTCCTCTGAACTGTCTTCAATGCATTTATCTCATTCTATAAATCAGGAGACTGTAACTGTAAACAGTATTCAAGGTGTGGTCTCATCAAGACTGTATAACTAAAGAAAATCCTTTGCTGCTGTTCAATTTCTATGATTGAAAAGGCTAGCATTCCATTAGATTGACTGATTGTCTGATTGTACTTTGATAGCTGCAAAGTAATGTTTTGTGATTCAAGCATTAGAACACCTGGATCCCTGCACCTCAGAATTCTGCAATTGTTTTCTATTTAAGTTATACTTTGTTCACTTATCTTTGTGCTATCTGCAAATTTAGCAATCATACCTTTGATCCTTCATCTCAGCCAATGATATAAATAGTAAAACATTATCTACCTAGCACAAACCACTGATCCTGTCAATCTGAAAAAAGGCTATTTGTGCATTCAACCAACCAATCTTCCTTCTGTGCGAGTATGCTATAGAGTCTTACGGCATTGAAACAGACCCTTCAGTCCAAAGAGTCCGTACTGAAGATAATCCCAAACAAAACTAGTCCCACCTGCCTGCACTTGGCCCATATCCCTCCAACAATTTCTTATTCGTGTACTGATCCAAATGTCTTTTAAAAGTTGTAATTGTACTCGCATCCACCACTTCTCTGGAAGTTCATTCCACACACAAACGTGACTCTGCATAAAAAGTTGCCCTCAAGTCTTTTTAAAATCTTTCTCCTCTCACCTTTAAAAGTGCCCCCTAGTCTTGAAATCCCCCACCCTAGGGAAAACATACCTGCCATTCACCTTATCTATACCCCTCATAATTTTATAAACCTCTATATGGTCACCTCTCAACCTCCTACGCTCCAGTGAAAACAAAGTCCTAGCCTATCCAGCCTCTCCTTATAACTCAAACCTCCATTCCTAGCAACATCCTAGTAAATCTTTTCTGAACCCTCTCCAGTTAATAATATCCTTCCTACAACTTATTCCCTATACCATGAACTCCTAATTTGCCTTTTACGTGGAGTGTTGTCAAATGCCTTTAGAAATCCTAGTATAGTAAGTATATCAATGGGCTCCCTTTTATCCATATGTTACTCCTTCAAAGAATTCAAATGAATTAAACAGGATTTCCCTTACACAAAACAAGCTGACTATTCCCAATTACCTTGAGTTTTTTCCAAAAATGTAGTTAAAACCTCAGTGTTTTGAATCCAAGAGTATCCCCATTACTGATATCAAGTTAACTGGCTTATAAGTTATTGTTATCTGCCTCTCTTCCCTCTTGTATAAAGGAGTTGTATTTGCTATTTTAAAGTCTAAGTGGATCCTTCCTGGCATCTAACAAATTTTAGGAAGTTAACACCAACGCATCTACTGTCTCATTATCCACCTCTTTTAAAACCCTACAATGAAGTCAAATCAGGACTTGGAGATTTATCAGTTGCAGCTCCATCATTTTTCTTAGTACAACTTCCCAAACAATGATAATTTCACCAAGTTCCTCTTTGTTCAACATTCAGGTTTGCAGCTATTACTGGGATCCTTCTTATATCCTCTGTAGTGAAGACAGAAGCAACAGATTTATTCATCATATTCACTATTTCTTTTTTATCTGTTATGACTCCCATTCTCACTCTGCAGAGGACCAATACTCACTTCACTTGCTCTTTTCCTTTCTAGATACTTATAAAAACTCTCACTGTTTTTACATTTTTAGCTAGCTTTCTGTCAAGCTCTAATTTATTTTTCCTGATTAATTCTTTATTCATTCTGTGTGGTTCTTTGCTTTCTGACCAGGTGTCTGAGCTGCCAATCACTTTTAGTAAATGTATGGTTTTTCCTTCAGTTTATTGTTCTCCTTAACTTCTTTAGTTAACTACAGATGGTGGTGTAGCCCTTGGAAATTGTTTTTACTGAAAGTGGGTATATTCTAAGTATGCTGAAATGCCCTTTTGAATGTCTGACACTGCTTCTGTACTGACCTGCCTGTTAGCCTAATATCACTTCAGCTAGGTCTGCTTTTTCTGCCTACATAGTTGCCCTTTTTCGATTGCTAGTCTTGGAGCCACTCTTCTCCCTTTCATAACGGATGCAGTATTCAATCATATTATGATCACTACTGCTTAATCACTAATACTAACTCTAGTACAGCCTGCTCTGTGGTCAGTTCTAGACAGTGTTGCTCTAAGAATCTATCTCAAAAGTGTTCTATGATGTCTTTATTTAGGCTACCATTGCCATTCTGATTTTCCTTTTAATTTATCTGTAGATTAAACTCATCCATTGTTATTGCTGTCCTTCTGTCACAAGCACCCAATATTTAATGTATAATCATTAGGATGCTACATTGTGGTTCATTAGGGGCCTGAAGATCACTCCCACAAGTGACTTTTTTTTTCCCTACTATCCACATCTTCATCCAAAAATGATTCTACAACCTGATCCCCTGAGCCAAGCTCATCTCTAATTATTGCACCTAGACTGTCTTTGATTAGGAGTGCTATCGTTCTGCTTTACCTATCCTTCTTGAATGCCTTATACCCCACAATATTCAGAACCTAATCCTTGTCATTCTGCAGCCATGTCTCTATAATGTTTATTAGATCATATTTATTCATTTCAGTGCTCTATAAATTCATTGATTTTGTTATGAATGCTTTCAAATTCCTATCATTCTCTGAACTTTATTTCCTACTTTAATAATTTGCTGTCCATCTCAACTCTATCTCTTGTTCTCTTGCAAATACGCAAACTTAATCCCTCACCCCCTTTTTTAGTTTAAAGCTCTCTCTATTTATCTGATTTATGTGGTTCTTGAAAATGCCAGTTCAGATGAAGACCAATCCTAATGATACAGGCCTCATTATCTCTAGTATTGATGCCAATGCCCCACTTCTCCAATGCCAGTCTTGGAGCCATCAATTCACGTCTCTAATCTTATTCATCCAATGCCAGTTTCAACATGGCTTGGGCAGTAATCCAGAAATTATTATCTTTGATGTTCTGCTTTTCAATTTAGCACCTAACTTCTTGTATGCCCTCAGCAGAACACCTTTCCATTCTACTTATGTCATTGACACCACCCCTTCCCAGCATAAGTTCTTCTCCAGCCCTCAGGAGATATTCCAAACCCGCACAGCAGGCAGTAACACGGCTATTTGGACTCGTGCAGTGGACAGTGTCAATCTCATGATAATGACCCCCTACTACCACTACATTTCTTAGCCTTTGACCTGCTCACCAGACACCCACACCACCTCGTCCCTCAGTTCATTAGTGCCAACTCCATGTCCTGCCTGATGCCCTATGCTTTCTCCATTTTTCTCATGCATCTGGCATAACCAATCACCCAGAATATCCTTTGTACAGTCCTCAGGAGTCATGCAATAGGAATGGAATTTTTCTTTCAAAATTCACAGGAATCAAAACAAGCATCTAATAATGTAAGAAAGCTATGAATTCAAACACATCAGCATGATACTAGAAAAAAAATGCCCATATAAAAAAAATTGTAATCCTTTAAGTATTTATTAGGTTTTTAAATAAGACACGACATCAAAAGCACATTCTGTCATTACAGCTTCTTAAAGTTTTCAAACGTTCTTGGAACCTGATGAGCTGAAACCAATTGGAGCTAAGCATTCAGAATGTTGACAGTAGCTTCCAGTTATGTTGCCTGAAACTGAGGTAACTGATGTACCAATTGCATTTCAAAGCAAAGTTCTTATCTGTCAGTGGAGGGAAGCAGGTGCAGAGATTTTTTTCAACTTTCTAAAGCAGAGCTTTTTTTAAAAACTCAGAGCTGTCAGTCAAGTTTTGGATTAGCTTCAAGCGGACAGACACTTTAAATGCATTTTTGCATTAAAGGCACATCTACATTACAGTACAGCACCTAATCCTACCATTTTACATTTACCTCTCAGAATGTTCCCACTTTCTTGGCAGGACTCTTCCCAGTGGCCATTATCTCCTTCTTAAACCAGCTGAGGTTACTATGAAGGACACCCCTTTTCAACCTCTCACCTTGTCTGAGGCATGGTGATCCTCAGGTTAAACCACCACTGATCCTCTCTCTCTTTAATGAGAGGGCAGCCCTAAGGTCTGGTAAAACTCTGGCAACTTTGTCTTTTATCTCTTAGTGCTTACAAAACCCACATCAGCACACAAAAATACTGTGCAGAAGAAAATACAAATTTTCTCTGACCCTCACAACAGGAACCCAACCCTGACTTCGGAAGAGGTATATGCCTGTTTGCATTCAAAGACTTCCTGATCTGTGAAAAGACCACATTAAAAAATGAAATGGGATTGGGAAAGCACAAGGAAGATGTGTTATCCAGTAAAGTGCAGAGTTTCACAACCCAACTCACACCTCTGTTTCATCAGAGAATTTCAAGCTTGCTTGAAATTTCACTTACCACAATTTGCTAGCTAGCGAACAAACACAAAGTGTGAATTACATCTCAGTTGCTTTATCCAAATAGCCTGCACTGAGCATTTTTCAAACAGTAGTAATAAGGGATAATGAGGGATAAACATATAGCTTGCTTGCATAGTTGCCTGGTATGAACAGTTTCCATCAAGCCATTTCCATCCTCAAAAGTGACCAAAAGCTAGAATTTAATGAACGTGTTAAAAATGGAAGAGATAACGATTGAGACAGAGAGGCGGAGGGAGGGAATTACATGGCTTAGCCCTAAGCAGCTAAAAGCAATGGTTGCTAATGGTAAGGTGATGGAAACGTGAAACATACAAGAGCTCCAAATTAGAAGACCGACATCTCAGTGAGGTGGAAGGCTGGGAGAGGTTACAGCCTCCCCAAGGAAGGGACAAAGCCTGGAAGTGGTTTGAACGCAAGGCAGAGAATTTTAAGTTTCCAGCATAGCTGGATTAGGAACCAATATAGGTTTACCTGCAGGGGGTGATGGGTGAATAGGATGCTGAGAGCTATGATGAGACCACAGATCTTCTGCTCTGCTGAATTGGATACAAGGTTACAGAGTATATATAGAGCAGAAATAGGCCATTTGATACAACCTTTACATGATACTGTTGGTTCTCCACTCACGGCTCTTCCCATCTATCGGCATAACCATCAACAAACTTTTCTTTCATATTTTGTCCAACTTCCCTCTAAGAGCTTCTACACTATTTGCTGCAACCACTCCCTTTAGTGGTGAGCCTTCCCACTCTTTAGGAAAGAGGTATCTTCTGAATTCCTGAATTTCTGAATTACACGTCTTCGCGACTATTTTAAATTGAAACTCAGCAAGATAATTGGACGTCAAATCTAGAGGGTGACAAAGGCATGATTGAAAGTTTGAAAAGCTGTAATACTGAGGCAGAAAGAATGTAGATGTAGCCAAATTGGATTTCAGAAAGAATGACTGCAGAGGACAAACCTCATAGGATTATTTTGCGGTAACAGATATGATGGTTGAGGAAAATGAAGTGGATGCGCACAAGGATTTTCACAAGGCTTTCAACAAGGTACCATAGTGCAGACTGTTGGAGGAATTGAAGTGGTATGGAATTATAAGGAGGGTTAAGAAATTTAATGAAAAATTGATTAGAAAGGGAAGTGCAGAGTGTGGAAGCTATTGAAAGTGACAAGAGTCTTGCCTGGTGGCTGGAGAGTCAGTTCTCATTCACTTTTGTTTACTGTGTACATTAATGATTCGAATTTACACACAATTAAGCATTTAATTTTACACAATTAAAATGGAAGTCGTAGGAAATCAATCTGAGGACGAAGTAAAGCTGCGAAGAGTTTTGCATTAGGCATAAGAAAATGACAATTGAAATTCAGTGTCAGTAAATTGTGAAAAGCTGTATTTCAATTGAAAATATGAAATTTAAAAAATTCCACTTTTGGAAGAATACTGGATGCTATAAAAGAGCAACAAGGTTTGGATGTTTAGCTTCACAAACATTAAGAGTACTATGTCAAGTGGATAAGGGAATGGAGCAGCTGATACAATACGGGTGCAAAATATAAACATTGAGAAGTACATGTGACTTAATATGAAACTTTAGGAAGATCATAGCTAGAGAGCCATTTGCAGCTTTGGGCTTCACACTACAGGAAAGCAATAAAGGGATTTGATTTGCTAGGATGTGTTCTGATATGTTGATACATGAATACAGAAAAACCTTGGAAAAATTAGGGCAGGTTTCACTTAAAATCAGATTACTAATGAGTGATTTGATTGAGGTGCTTGAGTGATGAAGGGTAGAACAGTTTAGACAGGCTATTGTCAGTGATTCAGGGAAGTAGAACTGAAGCAATAGATGCAAAGAAGGGAGATGTTACCCAGGCCTCCCTAGTCTCCTTGTCAAAATAATCATGTAACCAACCTGTGGAGATTGAGTGCTTCTGAAAATGGAATGGCTGAATAGGTAATTGACAAGCACAGTTTGGGTGAAACAGCAGCTAAACACCTGCACTGCCTCTTCCTTGCTGCTTGCAGCACTTATACATAAACTTGAATGGTTTATAATAAGCCATTTATTGGTGGATAATTGAGGTCTACTGTAGAAAATGTTCTTTAGCTTATCTCCAAGTAAACCAATTTGAACAGAAAATAAGAGTGATTATTGCTTTCCTGGTGTACATTGTGCGTCCCCCCCTCCTCATTATAACCAGTGCTACTCTTCTCTCTCATCATATCAGCCTCCAGAGATCTGAGGGACGTCAGTCTTTATGTCCATTTTTTGATGTGCCTTTCCGATTCTGCAAAACTCACCCCTTGCATCAATTTTAACTTTTATTAGACAAATAGGAACGGGGTCTGACTGACAAGCTTGATCTCTCAGTCAAGGTGAGTAATGGTGAGGGGAGATAAAAAAAAGGTATTGCATCCATGTATCTGTCACATGTTCATGAGATCCTGCTGACTGATATTTCTTGCACAATAAACTATAGATGTTCTTAGCCCCTTCCATTTCCCAAACTCCAATAAACCAGCCAGTTCTTTGGTGTTGGCAGACATAGTTTTTCAATTTCAAGTTAGTTTTATGTGTTTGACTTTCAGGCTGACTATTGTAAAATTGAAGAGGACCTCAAAGTGGCAAAAGAACAAAACCAGAAGCTGTGGGAACGTGGCACAAGTAATAGTCTCTCTGTTGAAAACTTGGAGCAGGAATTGGAATGCAAAAATCAAGAAATTCTGCGGCTTGACGGTATGATAAACTCTCTGAAGGAGCAGTACCAGCATCAATTGCAGTGTCAGGTTAGTTTGTGCAAAGATTGTCAAGCTTTTTTGAGTGAGACACCTCTTTTCGAGTGAATAGTAATTATAGACTTCCCACCTCAGCTAAATGATGGTATTGTAAAATACTCATAATACCCAGACAAAATTGTATTGTATTTTGTCACACTTTCTTTGAGTGTAATATTAAAAAAAATTCCCTTTTCTTAACCAAGGCTGAGTTAACCCTACAAAGCCTTGGTAAAAGCAGGTATACCTGCTGCTCTCAGTGTTTTTCCATGCCACTCCCCTTCAAAGTGAGACAGCCAACCTTAGAATTTCCCTGCTGCCCTTATCCTTCTAGACTGTAAGGAGTTTGGAATATGTTATTGAAGGAGCCTTTTCAAATTGCTGCAGTGTATCTTGTAGATAGTACACACTGCTGACATGCTGATCTAGTAGTGAACTACATTATTAAGGTAGCGGGTGGGTGCGAATCAAGCAGACTTCTTTACAGGGGATTGTGTCAAGTTTCTTGAGTATTGTTGGAGCTGCACTTATCCAGGCAAGTGCAGAATATCCCATCAGAACTCTGACCTGTGCCTTGTAGATGGTGAGACTGATCTGCTTTTGTTATGTGGCTTGTCAGGTTAGCAGTGATTGCCAAATTATTGAAGGTGGTGGGTTTAATAATGGTAATACAGTTGAATGTCATGGAACAATTAACAGAGATGGTCATTGCTGAGCACTTGTACAACATGATTTTCTTTTGTCCTGTCAACCCAAGTTTGAATGTTATCCAACTTTTGCTGTAAATAGGCAGACTACTTCACACCTGATGCATTATGAATGGAACTGAATGCTGTGTCATCATCAATGAATACCCCCATTTCTGACCTTGTAACAGAGAGAAAATCATTTGTGAAGCAGCCAAAGATGGTTGGGTTTAGGCCAGTTGAGTTTGCATCAGGTTTTTTTGGTAGAATTTCACATTATAAGACCAATATATGGCAAAGGACCAAGCCAAGAAATTGAATTTACTGCAGTCACTTGTACAATTTCTTGCCTAATCTCATTGTGATGAGATATAAAAACTTTCCATTATACGAATACATAAAAGCAGGCATTTGGCCCATTGAGTCCACACCGACCCTCCGAAGAGCATCCCACCTAGACCCACCCCCCTACCCTATTCCTGCATTTCTCACCCTGAACACTATGGGCAATTCAGCATTGCCAATCCAAATAACCTGCACATCTTTGGACTGTGGGAGGAAACTGGAGCACCTGGAGGAAACCCACGCAGACACGGGGAGAAGGTGTAAACTCCACACAGACAGACGCCCGATGGTGGAATTGAACCCCGGTCTCTGGGACTGTGGGGCAGTGGTGCCAGCCACTGAGCTACCATGCCGTCCCAAATACAAAGAATACAAAAAAGAACAGAGGAGATGTCCTCAGTGTCCTGGCCAATATCTATCTCTCAATCAAACATTACAGAAAAGCACACATTATCAGGTTGTTATTGCATTATTTCTGATTTTATCACGAAGAAATTTTAGTGAAATACAGATGTCAGCCTGTGATGCCAATCGAGCCACAGCAGAAGCCTGAAAGTGTTTTATTGTTGTTTCGCTTTAATTTAGAAGTCATGCACACGTCCTTGTTGAAATTTTACGCATTCTGTTTTTCCTTGAATGTTCCTTTATTTGTTCCTTCAAAAATGGAAGATGGTAATTTTTTTTTTTCCTCTATTATTCCCAAGAATGTTTTGATGAAAGACTCAAAAGTTGAAAAATATTTCCTCTAATTGCAAGGCATTCTAAAAGTGTAGGATTGGAAGTCTAAATCTCAAAGCAGAAACATTTCAGAGAGTAATACTTACAAAGGCTCAATTTTGTGATTGGGCAGTTTTTTGAATCTCTTTACCAGTGACCAGTCTCTTCCACAGCACAACAGTTGTTTTCTAGCTTTGCCACCGATATTGGCAAAGATGGAATGTATTGTAATGATGATGAATAGTGCCAGGACACTTGCTTCAATATTTGCAAGGTCTTTTTGTGAGGTATTGACAAATTAGGAAAAGACCATAATATAAGATACGAATCATATTCGATACTTTTAGAATAAAACGTTCTCTTAGATACTTGTAACGTGTATTTTCTTTGTTCAAACTAAGGCATCATTAGAGGAACAAAGAAATGATGACCAAGAAAAAATCAAGAACTTAGTCAAACAGTATGAGAACTGTAAAGAACAGCTTTGTAATACTGGAGAGGAGCTTAATAAGAAGAAACAGCAACTTGAAAAAACAGAAATAACCATCTGTCAGTTGGGGGAGAAAATAAAAGAAAAAGACAGATGTCTGGAAAATGAAATTGCAGAAAAAGGTAAACTGCAACATGAAATTGATGAAAAGTGCCAAAAAATTCATAGGATGAAAATAGCAGAAGAGACCATTTGTGATCAGTTTGAAGAAGCAGTTACCCACTTAAAGAAAATGCAGTGTGATAACGATTCACTGAAAATGGAGTTGAATGAGAAAAACAAGATGCTTGCCACTTTGCGACAAGAAATGGAAAGCATTTCTGAAATGACATCACAACAGAGTTGTGCATCTGAGGCACTAGAGCGTGAAAGAAAACAACTTCAGTCCGAAGTAGATTGTCAAAACCAGAAGATTCAAGAGTTAAAGGTCAGATAATGAATATATGGCCAGAAATAAGTCACTATGGTAGAATTGTTTATGCATCAGACAAGATTTGTCCTACTTCACTTTATCAAATCCTCTCACCATAACTTCCTATTCTTTTTCTCCCTCATTTATATAAGCTTCTTTTTAAATGCATCAATGCTATTTATCACAACTTGTCTGTGTACTGGGCTCTATATTCCAATTCCCCTCTGTGTTAAAATGTTGCTCCTGACTTCCTTAATTGGTCTATTAGTGACTATTTTAAAAATTTCTGTCTAAGTTTGACCTTCCACAGTTGGAAATATTTTCTCTACATCTGCCTTAAAACCTTTCACAATCATTCAGCCTCTATATCAGGTCATCTCTCAGTCTTTGCTATTGTTGATAAAAGAAGTCAAGCCTGTTCATATATTTTGATAGGGATTAGTTTCTTATGAATAATTTTTGCACCATCTCCAATATGTGTATATCTTTTCGGTAGTATGGCAACCAGAACTGTGCACAACACTACAAGTGCAGTACAATTATTGTCCCCCTTTCGGCTCCCCCACTCTCTGCTGCCCAAACAGGGTGACCTGCCTGGCTTAATCCTTGTCCTTGAATTCCTTCATAAGCTTTAAAATTGATGCCAGGTACCAATGGCTCTGAAGTAGCCAATTACTGCCCTGTGTAAAATTTCAGAGAGGTCGAGGGCAGATGAAAATTTTACAGGACCGCCACCACCCCTTCCTTATCCACCACCTCCCTGCCCCGGCCTGTAAAGACAAAATTCTGAAAAGTGTAAAAATTCTGACCCAGATTATTGGCCATCAAATGCAGGGAGGAGATAGAAGAATGCATTTCGACACCAACTGCACAAAGCTACAAGAACAGTAGAATATTGTCAATGACGTCTTTGATTGTCCTGATTTAGACTGGGATAGTAATAGTGTATTAAAGCAAGAGGTAGAGGAATTTTTGAAATGTACATGGAGTACAGGAGAATTTTCAGAAAAAGTAACTTTCCAGCCCAGCAAGGAAGGAAGTAAATCTAGACCTAGTTTTGGGGAATGAAAAAGAATATATTTCAGTGGGAGAATATTTGGGAAATAGTGATCATAGTGTCATTGGTTTTTGAGTAGTTATGGAAATGGACAAGGAAACGTGAATTGTGAACATACTGAGCTGGAGGAGGGATAGATTTCTAAGTTGAAAACAGATTTGGCCCAAGTAGTTTGTTATCAAAGGTTGGCAGGTAAGATAACAATGAGCAAAAGAAAACTGCAAACAAGGAGATTCTTTGGGTAGAGATTAGACGTATTCTCACAATACAGTGGGAAAAAAAGAACATCCAAAACAGGAACTTACTGGATGAATGAAGATATGAAGATTAAAATTAAACAGGAAACAGAAACTTAGAAAATGGCAGGTTCATTGTTCTCAAACTGCATGCAAATGTTACAGGGCAGAACTGAAAAAGGAAATAAGAAAGGCAGAGAAAGAAAATTTGAGAATAGATGAGATAAAATAGGCCAGATCTCAAAGTAGAAATTGTAACAGCATAGCCAGGTGAATGTTGAGTCAGCCATGGACTAGAAAGGAAATTGCATGGAAGCTGAAACAGCAACCTTGAGGAAAATATACAGTTATATGGTGGATGCTAAAGACAGCTGGGAAGTGCCTGGAAACATTGTACCAATGAATGAGGTAAATTTTGCCCTTTAGAATTATTAAGTGCAAAAAATTGATTTAATAAAAATAAATTACAGATAACAGTCTTTAGCCAATTCGATTCATTCCGCGTGATATCAAGAAATGGTTGGAGGCACTGGATACTGCAAAGGCTCTGGGGCCTGATAACATTCCAGCAATAGTACTGAAGACTTGTGCTCCAGCACTTGCTGCTCCCATAGCCAAGTTCTTCAAGTACAGTTACACCACTGGCATCCACTTAACAATGTGGAAAACTGCCCAGGTATGTCCTGTTCACAAAAAATAGGACAAATCCAACCTGGCCAATTATCACCCCATCAGTCTATTCTCTATCAGCAGTAAAGTGATGGAAGGTATCATCAACCGTGCTATCAAGCAGCACCTGCTCAACAATAACCTGCTCAGTGATGCCCAGTTTGGGTTCTGCCAGGGCCATCAGCTCCTGACCTCATTACAGCCTTAGTTCAAACATGGACATAAGAACTGAATTCCAGAGATGCAGTGAGAGTGACAGCCCTTGACATCAAAGCTGCATTTGACAGAGTGTAGCATCAATGGGTTTCAGGGACAACTACTCCACTGGTTGGAGTTATACCTGGCACATTGGAAGGTTGTTATGGTTGTTGGAGGTCAGTCATCTTGGTTCCAGGACATCTCTACAGGAGTTCCTCAGGGTAGTGTTGTAGGCCAAACCATCTTCAGCTGCTTCATCAATGACCATCCCTCCTTCATGAGCTCAGATGTGGTGATGTTCACCGATGATAGCAAAATGTTCACACCATTGGCGACTTCTCAGATACTGAAGCAGTCCATGTTCAAATGCAACAAGATCTGGATAATATCCAGGTTTGGGCTAACAAGTGGCAAGCAACATTCACACCACACAAATACTAGACAATGGCCTTCTGCAATAGGAGTCAATCTAGCTAGTCCTACTTGACATTCAGTAGTGTTACCATCATTGGATCCCCCAATATCTACATCCTTGGGGTTACCATTGACCAGAGACTCAACTGGACTCATCACATAAACATGTTGACAAATACCTCATCTCCGAACTCCCCAAAGCCTGTCCACTACTTACAAACACAAGTCAGGAGTGTGATGGAATACTCCCCACTTGCCTGAATGGATGTAGCAACCTCTACACTCCAGTGCAAAGCAGCCTGCTTGATTGGCACCACAACCACAAGCATCCACTCCCTCTATCACTAACGCTCGGTGATAGCAATATGCACTATTTACAAGATGCACTGCAGAAATTCACCGGAACCTTAAGATAACACATTTCAAACCGACGACCACTACTATCTAGAAGGATAAGGGTAACAGATACATGGGAATATCACCCTCTGCAATTTCCCCTCCAAGGCACTCACCAATCTGACTTGGAAATATATTGCCATTTCTTCACTGTCACTGGGTCAAAATCCTGGAATTCCCTCCCTAAGGGCACTTGAGATCAACCTACAGCAAGTGGATTGAAGCAGTTTAAGAAGGCAGCTCACCACCACCTTTTCAAGGGCAACTAGGAATGGACAATAAATGCTGGCTAGCAAGCAATGCCCACATCCCACAAGTGAATAAAAAATGGAGAAGTTTGAATTGTCTAGAAATAAATGGGGATGGTATCAAATATGCAATTATTGAAATAAAAATATGGAGAGGAATAGATAAAGCTGGGGAGAAAATGAAAAGAAGAGGAAAAAAAGATTGAACTTGCTGTCACAATTGGAAATTGAACAGATCAGCTGAGGGAGGATCAAGTAGAAAGTCATTACAGTCAATTGGCAGAGCTGAAAGTTAAATTTAGAGACAATGAGAAGTTTTGAGAGAATATTTTCATCTCTTGCAGAAATTTAGTTAGGTTGCAATATGGTGGAGGGGGATGGGAAGCATAAAGTCTGGACAGAGCACCAGGGCAAAATCTAAGGTAGGGATCATCAAGTGAAGCAGTGGAAAAGGTAACTGGGCAATGGCTAGTGACAGTGGTGGGGGCAGTGGAAAGAGTCAGAGGTAATACAACAGCAAGCAGGTAGCAAAAGACATGGAAGAACGAGAGTATTTAAAGTTCCAAGTCAGATTCAAAAAATTAAACTAAACTTCAGTTCAACTGCACATACCCTCTGCTACTTAACAGAGGTTCCCATTTCCATTAAATCTTTGCATTCTGTTTCTGATGCACCTGTTCTGAGACAACCCTGTGCAGACCACTACAATTGTAACATGTTAGTGAAATTTTTATTATTACAACAATTTGCTTCTGAGTGATTGAATGAAAGAAGTCTGCATTTGAGTCAATTGCAGGAACTGCTGTGATTAGCTCATAAGCAAGGTTGATAAAAGCAGTGAGTTATTGAAGGTATGGTATAAATGCTGATGTGCTATTTTTACTGTAGTGGACTATAGGTGCAAATCTATTTATACATTTGCACTTTTATGGGTTGTCACCTTATAATAATTTAATCTGGTGCTAATAACATTGTTTTCTGTTAGACTGAATTGGAACACAAAGAAACTCAGATGATAGAACTAAAGGCACATCTCTCTGAGGTGGAAAAGGAGAAAATTAAATTGGTAAATTCTGCAACTCAGCAAATGTCTGAATTGAGAGACTTGTTACAGGAAAAGGAAGTGCTTGCAAATGAATTAAATCTTATCCAGAGTCAAATGGCTGAACTGAAAGGTATGAGATAGTCTGCCAACAAAGTTTTGGGGTATTGATTGTGCTCTTTCTGTTTTCCCAGTATTATTATGAACTCTTCATCTTCCCAACCCTGTAAAGAAAACTCTATGTTAATTTAATGTGAGGTCTCAATATTTATTTGCAAAATAGTTCTGTTGGTGAATTATTTGATAATGCTAACTAATGCTACCAATGGAACAGAAAATGCATAATTGGATAACAAGGTGTACAGTTGGATGAACACAGCAGGCCAGGCAGCATCAGAAGAGCAGGAAAGCTGATGTTTCGGGTCTGGACCCTTCTTCTGCTCCTCTGATGCTGCCTGGCCTGTTGTGTTCATCCAGCTCTACACCTTGTTATCTCAGACTCCAGCATCGGCAGTTCCTATTGTCTATGCATAATTGGATGTTGTGTTAACTGTTGTATACTTGTTAAAATAAAAGTGTTGGAGAATTGACACAATGGATTTCAATCATATTTTTAAAGTGATAAGAACTCCTCCTTAAGAATTTCATATTGTATTGCAAAAGCAAGGTAGAACTTTCAAAAGGTTAAGTGGTAGGAGTGGCTGTTCTCCAAATCTTGCAGTGATGGATATTATAAATGATTTATGCATCACTGGGTCAAAACCCTAGAGCTCCCTCCTTCGTAGCATTATGGATTCACTGACACCAAATAGGCTACAACAGTTCTGAAAGGCAGCTGATCAACACCTCTTGATAGGCAACTAGGGATGGGCAATAAATACTGACCTGTCAACAATGCCCAACTGTCATGAATTACTCTTTTAATAAACAACTAGGGAAGTGCAGGAAACGTTAGATTAAATACTGGGGTCAACTGTGGAAAAGTGATGAAGAGAAGAATGGAGAAAAGCTCAGAGAGAAAAATAGTCATGTGAGAAATGAAGAAGCTCAGAGAATTACAAGATGTGACAGAGAGAAAAATAAGCTATCAATACAGCAGGCCACGAGTAGGTTTTATGAAGATAACAAAAACACTAAACAAGAGGCTCTATGTTTGAATACGTGTAGCATTCATCAGACGGTAAACAAATCAATCGTGCACATTGAAGTAAATAAATTCGATCTGATAGCCATTTCAGGGAATTGGCTTCAGGATGACAAGGAGTGAATATTGAGGCCTGTGTGACACTTGGAAAAAAAGAGGCCAGATAAAGATGAAGGAATTGCTCTGTTCATCAAGGATAGCATTTGTGCAACAGTTAGATATCAGATATGGAATTATTTAGTTGGAGATGAGGAAATGTAGGGGAAAGATGTCAGTCATGAGAGTGGTCTGCAGGCCCATTATCAGTGACCACAATGTGAAACCAAGCATACATGAAGAAATATTGGGTGCTCAGGATAAAGGAGCACCAATGATCAGCTTAATCTAATATAAACTGAAAAAATTCAGATTGTCAGTAGTGTCATGGATGAAGAATTCTTAGACTGTTTTTGAGATAGTTTCTTGGCGTGGCACATTTTGGAACCAACCAGAAGTAGGCTATATTAAACTTGACCATCTGGTGATCTCTACTCCCCCACCATTGCCTCCAAGCTGATAGACCCACAACCCTGCATAGCTCACTTTCCAGAATCCACAAACAGGACTGCTCCTGCCCCATAGAATTCATCTCTTCCTATCAACTGATTTTTTCTCCCCTTGTCCAGTCTCTTTCCACTTACATCTGCAATTCTTCTGGCAGTTTCAGAATTTCCAGTTTGTGGGCTCCAGCTGCCTCCTCTTTACCAGGGACATGCAATCCCTTTACATGTTCTTTCCCGATCAGGATGGTCTCAGGGCTCTCTGCTTCTTCCTGGAAAAAAGGCCTGAACTGTCCCCATCCACCACCACGCCCCTCCGTCTGGCTGAGCTCATTCTCACCTTCTATTTCTTCTTTTTCTGATATTGGATGTTGGTGGTTTAGGTTTCCCAGCAAAGGAAACAATCCCTTGCTGTCTACATTATCAAAATGTCCCCTTCAGAATCTTGACTGTTTTAATGAAATCACCTGAAACTGCAGAGGGCATAGGCCCAATTTGCTCAGCCTTTACTCATAGGACAAACCTGTCATCCCAGAAATCAATCTAGTGAACTATCACTGTACTAAAATGCAAGTATATCGTTCCTTCAATATGTTTCATACCTTTTTAAAAATGTGTTTTTCTATTTTTTAACCAAGTGTTTAACCTCTAATTTCCCCAGATTATACTTTATCTTCTCCCTTGTTGCTCACTTATTTAATCAATCTATATCTTTCTGTGGCCTCTTTCTATCCATTCCACAGCTTACATTCTCGCCTAGCTTTGTATTGTTAGTAAACTTGCGTAGATTATTCATTGTCTCTAATAACAGTTTTAAATAGATGAGGCCCAAAACTGATCCTTATGGCACCCCATTAGTCTCAGCCTACTAACTTTAAAATCCACCATTTGTCCCTATCTTTGTTTTTTTTAACCAACTCCGTATCATGCTGGTATATTGCTTATCCTCAACATCATGAGCTGTCATCTTGTGTTAACCATTTGTATGCCATTATTCCTTTTGGAAGTAGACTTGGTTCCCTTTACCTATCCTGTAGATTACATCCTCACAAAGCTCTAATAAATATGTCAAACATGAAATCTCCTTTTCACAAAACACTTTGATCATATTGATCAAAGTTTGATCAAATATTGACTTTGATCATATTTGCATTTTAAAGCGCATTGTTAAGACTTCTTTAATTCCAGCATATTCTGGTATCTGTACTGGTTACAGACTAGCCTTTAAATCTCTGTTTTCACTGTCTAGCTTTTCATAAATAGGAGAGTTATATTGCTGATTTCCAATCTGCTTGGACTGTTCTAGAGACTAAGTTATTTAAGATAGCATACATCTGAGTAGAGCTGATACCAAGACTCTTGCATGGAAATGAACTGGAGTTGTGGGTGAGAGAACTGAGTAGGGAAGGAAGTATAAGAAGGAAAATATGTGGGAAGAATCAGGACCTTGGAAAGGAAAGCAAGTTTGTAGTGTAGATAATGAGGTAGAGCCATTAAAAGATTTTAAGCAGATTAACACAGCAAGTGAAAAATCAGGATGATAATATAAAGAAAAATTGTGAATCCAAAGCAGTTCAAACTAAATTGTACAGGTGCCCATGTAGTGAGTGTAAGAACCAGAATTATGGAGCAAGAGTCATACATTATAAAATTATGATACTGTATTTACTTTTATCATGTCATTATTCTCCACCTGATAGCATATTGTAAACTGCTACTTAATGGAAAGCAAATTAAGAATGAAGCTCTTAGATGATTTAGTTAAATATTTATTAACACTCTAGCAATTTCAGAGGATTTTTATTACCCAAAAATATATCTTGAAATGAGAAAAATGTTTGCGGCCAGAAGGGAGAACTTCCATTGCCATGTGTATGCATCTATTTCCTCACCTCCTGCTGCCCAAAAGAAGCTTGTATTTCTTGATTAACCAAGCAAGTGGAAAAAATGTGGGGAAACGTATAGGAAATAATGACGGTACAGTAAGGATTGACTGAAGAAAAGGACTGGAAAAAAGAAACATAGTATGATGAGATTTAAAAAAGGACCTTTCTCCAGGTTAGATGGATGGAAAAAAATGAGCACAAACCAAGAGAACAGGAGCAGGAAACATGAACAGGAGATTAAAAAAATATAAAATTAAGTACATGCTATGGATAAATAGGGATTTTAGAGCAAATTTAATACTAAGGAGGTGATTTATTGCTCTCAAGGCAATGAATAAAATCTAAAGCTAAGGCAATAAGGAATAAAGGAAAGCCATAAAATGAAGATTATAGAAATTAAGGAAAGTATAAGAGAAAATACCCTCCTAAAATGTGTAATAACAAGGTTTTCTATGGGGATACTTGTAGTAATAACTAGGATTAGGACCACAATGAGATGAAATAGATGAATTTGTAGAGAATGAAGGGATGGTGAGACAGTAAATAAGTGCTTTACCTCAAGGAAAATTATGAATATTAAACTGAGAGCCGGTAGAAGAAAGCACAGATTACTGAGTGGAAATTATTATTTAATGAAAGATCCATCGTTGACTGTTCCATTGAGCATATGTAAGGAAAATCAGAAATGAAGCAGCCCCTCAGTGATATGATCAGTCACCAGTTACAGCACACAAAAACAAAATTTAACCATTGGCTTGCAAATATTGGGAAATGGAGGCCCCTGACAAGTAGGGCACTGAGATGCCTCTACATTGAACTTGTTACATAGTAGACATGATTTAGAGATATGCTGCACAAGCCATGTGTCACACATTCAGTAGGAGATTGTGGGTGTTGTAGATAAAATTGGATCATTGCTGGGAAACAGGAAAAGCTGCCTGGATTTGTGTCTGTGATAAAAAGCATGGCAAGATAGAACTCCTGTGAACCTGCAAATTCCAAATGAAAGCAAAATGGCAAGGCAAGGCAGAAATTCTGTGGTGATTCAAGTGAGCATAAAGTGAGTGAGTGCTAAGAGAGTGTGAGGAGTCCTGAGATGCACTCTGTTCTGATTCATGAAATAGTGCCTGTCTCTGCATACAAAACAGCTGGAAGCAACATTGGAATGTAAGATGCCAGTCAGTTCCAAAGTGCAGTATTGAAGTGCTGAATGGTGTCATAATTGTGTAGGAGATGTACAGTGACGTGGTGAGGTTCATGTTTTGCTGGTGCCAGCCTCTGTGGGTGGATGATGCAAGGAGTCACTGCCCATGGAATGTGCCCTAAAATGTTGGGGAATGCTGCCCAAGGTGAGCACCCAGCGAAGTTACCAGAGAGCTGCAGCCACTGGGTAGCAGCTCTAACTTTCCTGTCAGGAGTTGGCAGCTGGTATCTGCTGGGATGCGTTCCCTCACCAACTCTTTAGGTGGTGGGATGTAAAAAACACCATCTGACAAGGTCTGCCCAAGACATTATTGTTGAACTTGCACAAGATCTATGGTGATCATTGAATCCCATTTCAGAGATGTCCTGCTGAAGGAATGATATAAAACAATAGGAAATGTAGAGCATAGATGAGATAATTGAGTTGGTTTTTTACGCCGTAGGAAAGATAACAGAATTATGCTAGTGATTGACTGCTTCCAATGCTTGGAAGTTGGCATAATTTGAAATAATTTTTTTAAAAAAGGCAGAGATTAGAGAAATCGTATTTACATGGAGACTAATTGGAAATGTGGAATTTTCTACGACAAGCCACTGAAAATGCACTATCCATAGATTGTCTTAGAAGGTAATCAGTTTGTTTATTGGAAAAATATTGAAAGATACTTGGAGCAGGTGGCATCAGGAGAAATTTGAAAAATGTACTAGTTAGGCCAAATGATCTGTTATTGTTTTAAGATGTTTTGATTCTGTGCTTGTATAAATGTGAAATATGTTAAATAATTATGTTTGAATTCTTAGTGTTGTTATTTTATCCATTTGCCTGAGATTATGATTTAGCTCTTTACTTGTTGATCATAGAGGAGTATGAAAATTTGCAGAGGACCTACACATGCAAAACTGAAGAATATGATTGGGCTACAAACAAACTTAAAGCTCAGCTGAAATCAACCCAAAATGATCTTGAGCAAACCAGGGAGGCGATGAAAGTACTCGAAGGAGCAGATACCCACGGTACTTATTTTTAGTCCGTATTTACCAGACTATTGTATATGCAAGCTACTTAGTCCTATGTCTATTTTCCCTGAAATTTACTTTTAATTGTATAGTGCGTCTGTACTGGATTTTAAAAATTCTGTATGAATGGTCACGTGATAGTACAGAACTTCAGTATCGCTGTCAACAGAGACCTGCTTATCAAAGCTTTTGCACTCATCAGGACAGATACAAGAATGTCAAATTTCACAAGCAGCAACAAGTTATTATGCATGAGAAAAGGCTGCTGATTGGTTTATAAGGTGATTTTGATTTGTCAAGGCATTGCCATTGAATTCATTCTGCCCCGATGCTTGTAAAAATGAAAACTTCAACAGTAAGTCTCTTTTTTTTCAGGAATAATCAATTTATACATGATTAAAAATTTGGCCTTTTGACTGTTGAACATCATGTATATTAAAGTAATTTTCCTTCAGGCATTTAGTTAACCAAATAAGCAAAATTACCTGAACATCTTGAAAAAACTTTTTAGTAGTTTTGTCTTTGTGAAATTCACAGTAACAAGACACATGTGGCATTACTCTGACCATACCCATCAAGTGTTGCACATCCCTTTAAATTTTAATGCTCATGCAATATACAACAATACAGAGATATAATTACAATCCTTTATGTATCTCTGAGAGGAAAAGCTCAGTGGGAACAGTGAATTACAGAAAATTCTGTTGCTTGATATGATCTCTTGTTTCTAGTATTTTCTAATTTCATTTCAAATTTTTAATTTTGAAATTTTATGCTTCTAAATTTTTATGAATAGAGTAAGGTGTTTTTTTTGTAATTGTTGCAATAATATTGGTGGAAAATAGCAGTCACCCTAAAGGACATGATTGAAAAGAGTCATTTACACTGTTTCTAAGAAAGTCCCATAATTTTACACTGAAGATATAGCAAGGAATTGGGCTTACCTCTTCAAAATTTCAGACCTTGATTTCTGTTATACTTTGAAGAATCTGAAGAAAAGCATTCTATTGAACACCAGTGAAACTTTGTTGGTATACTTCTACTCTTCTGCCATAAGAGATAACAAGTTGTAGAGCTGGATGAACACAGCA